TCCGACGATAGGTGTGAAGATTTGATAGAGCTGCAGGTTGTATCGCTGTCTTATAATGATTTAATTAGTGTCCGAGATCTATCGCATATTCCTTAGTTTCAACGCTTTAATCACTGTTGATAGACAGACCCGAAACACATTACCTTTCTCAAGGTAATAGGGTTAATGTATCTTTTTACGGAAATACTTTTGCATGTTTTTGTGAAAATTCTGACATGTTAGATTTGGTTCATTCAGACCAGAGTGGATCTAGATGGTAGAAATTATTCTTGTGTAGATTGGAAAGGGGAGAGAATCAACACTAACCACGTGTACAGGCAGTACCGAGGCTTTCATCAACATTGTATTTCTGGAACTTGGTTTATCTATTACTGGATCATGTGTTATATTACTTGCTATACTGAATTGTTTTATTTTCGTTAAAAATAAAATGAAAGTAAAATTATTTTTTTATTAAGAATGGTTGGACGATGTATCCAACCCAAGACGAGAGAAGAGTTTACTTATCATGTATGTGTTCTTTATGCCGATGATGTTTACCTGTGGGTGTGTCATAATATGTACCAGGAACTTGAAGTGCGACGAGAATTGTAACTAAAAAGTCTTCGGGATAAAGATGAACCTCTTGGTAGAGATAATCCCGAGGAGCTGTATAATACTGTTATATCCAGTACGTGACAAGGAGTAGGGTCGCCTGTCCAACCTCGTGGGTTTTCTCCGGGTCCTCCGGTTTCCTCCCACTGCTAAAGACCCCTACGCGCAAGCGAATTATTGAAATAAAATTAAACCATGTTAGTCCCAAAATGATCTAGTTTGTGTCGAGTGGACGTTAAACCCCATTTCTCTCTCTCTCTCTGTGTTATATCCAGCTGTGTACCTAAACAATGCATGTCTTTAATTGAAGTTATTTCCCTTTAACTGTATACTCATTATTATTTGGGACTATTTTGTTATGTATGTCTGCGATATCACGTCGGTGGAAGCGGACGTAAAATACAACTAACTAACAACAATATAATGCGTATTGTCTGCGATTTCACCTCGGTGGAAGCGGACGTAAAATACAGCTAATTAACAACAATATAATGCGTTGTGTTTACTTACTACTATGACTGCTGCTACAATGTCTGCCACCCATGATACAACATTTTGGCGACGATGTACTCTTTTGCTGCTAATTACCTACAGAATCATGACATCTTCTACGCCATATCGTTCGGAAAACCTGTCTGATTTGCCGTTCGATCAGGATTTGATTTCGCCACTTAAACTTACGGTGATAGATGAAACTCTCATGTCTTTGCCTACACAGTCACAGAATACTGCTACAAATAGGCTGTCGAATGCCAACGTCCAGTTGCCTGCACCATGTTTAGAGTCACCAGGAAAACCTGTCATTGATTGGAGAATCTGGGGGAGAGTATTTCTGAACTACATGGACGTTATTTCTGCCGAAAATCTTCCTGATTGCAAGACGAAATCTTTGCTTGTTCATTCGCTTGGAACAGAAGGTCAACGCATTTGTTACACCGTACAAGTGCCTGGTGAAACCTTTCAAGAATCCTCGCTTGCCTTACGTACACATTTTCATCCCGAAGTGAATGTGGTTGCAGGACGTTGCAAATGTCGGTGAGACTGTTGATCAGTTTGTTGCTGCCTTACGTGGATTGATAGCTACATGTGATCATGGTGCCTTCGATGAAGAAATGATCCGCTACCAGATGATAAAGAAAACTGTTCTCACATGTATTCGTGAACGTCTGCTTATGGAAACTTCCTCCCTTACCCTCTAAAAAGCTTTAACAATTGCCCGTTCAACTGAAGCTGGTATACGAGAATCTAAACTACTGGGTGGTTCGACATTCCACAGAGATGTTAATTGTGTCAGTGGTGCACGACCCAAGACACGTTTTGATTCTAAACGACCTTCAGTTACAAAAATAGAGAAATTTAAGAAGAATCCCTCTCATCCTACTCAGAATACACCTACTGTTTGCCCCCGATGTGATTCTGTTAAGCATCTTGAAAATGACCCGGCTAGCACTGCACGGATGGTAGTCTTTTTGAAATGTGGTAAAATTGGGCATTTTGCGAAGATTTGTATGTCTGACATTTACTACGAAACATTTCTGCAATATTATACCAACCAGTAACACATCTCAAGATTCACGCCTTTATATTTTTACCGTTAACCCTGCTGCTGTTGAGAAAGTTTATTGTGCCTTCATGATATCTACTGATGGAGTAACTGTTAAGGAAAGTATGATGGTTGACACAGGTTCATCCGTTACGATTTTGCCGAATAGGCCTTACGAGTCTGATTTTGGAGACGTTCGGCTTACCAAGGCTTCGTTAAATTTATCAACTTATGAAGGAACACCTATTAAAGTTAGAGGTTGTATGAAGAGTACTTTCCATTATGGTGATCGCTCAGTTGAAATCATGTTTTTTATTGTATATGGCATGTTCCATTGGTTGTGATGGATGTTATTCAGAAATTAAGATTGATAATTTCTTCTAACACTGTTGATGTAAACTCTGTCACACATTCTTTTGTGCATAAAGTTATGGTTAATGAAGATGTTAAACCAGTGCAACAGAAACTCAGACACTTACCTTTTGCTGTACTCAAGTAAAACTTGAACTTCAACGTTTAGAGAAATGCACTGCTTCTCCATGGGTTTCAAATATTGTGATTGTAAAGAAGAAAAATAACACTGTGCGCCTTTGTGTGGATCTTTGCGAACCTAATAAGGCTGTTGTTATAGATCAACATCCATTACCCCATTTAGAAGAACTTTTGTCAGAATTTAAAGATGCATCAGTCTTTTCTGTTATTGATTTAAAGGATGCCTTTCATCAGATTTCGCTCGATGAATCTAGCCGAAATCTTACTGGTTTATTACACACGAAGGGATATATCGATCTCTACCCTTTGGATATTCAGAAACAATACAAAACTGCGGAAATGCACTACTGTTTTTAGTAGAGGTAACCAGTATATGTCAATAACAGGCCAATAAACAGTTCATATGGGCGGCTTATCTGACGGCCCCATTTCACCCGCAAAGAGACACACTGTCAAAAGTGAAAATAGAAGTTTTTGATTTTTGTCTTAATAATGAGTAATTGCTCCACCAATCCTCAGACATTCGGCAATTCGTCGTGGCATGATCCTAATCAACCGTCCAATCACGATTTGAGGCAATCTGACCCACTCCTCTTGCGGTGCCACGACCAATTCTTGCAGTGTTGTCCTTTGACGTTGACGGACACGTCTCCCGATCAAATTAAACGTAACACACTAAAGCAAAGATACGCTAAACAGTAAATCTTATGCAAGAACCGGTAGGACAGCAAACATGCAGAGGATAAACCAGCAAGCGCCAGTTTTCATCAACCCGTCCTTGAAGTGTCAAATTTGACAATGAACCCCTCCCACGTGGATGACGCTATTGCGTGTCGCACATGCAGCTCAGTGGTTCTGTTGGGGCGATAAGTTCTTCATCTGTGAACATACTCTCAAAGCATGTCAAGTGTCCATGACTATTTATCATATCACAACCTGAATAGGTATTCGCATTTCAATATTCCCTACTTTTTTGAAGAGTATATATAGTGGTCGATTAGTGTCATTCAAGGGTTATGCGATCATTTTCTGTCTTGTAGGGTCTTTAAAGTATATTCGATTTTCTATGTATTATTACTTGCTGTATTTGATAATTATAGTAGTAATACGTTACAAGGAGAGAGAGAGAGAGAGAGAGAGAGAGGGGAAATTAAATTGGCTTCGGACATCATACGGCGTTCCTAGAGGGACGTACTCACAGCCCCTGGCTCGAGGCAGAGTGAACGAGGGATAGACATCATGTAGTTTTATCAAGAAGTGTGTGGCTCTTAAATTGCCATCTTCAAACATAATTCGAGGTTTGTGATAGAGAGAGCATTCGGTTTTCCTAGGGAGAACATCATACGACGTATCGAACAGTTTACCATTATTGTTAAAAATGTCATTCTATTTGTCCCGGGTTTTTCTTAACAAGTGACCAAGTGCTCTTAACCAAACGTGGCTGGTATATAGGGTCTCTGATCTAATTGTCCCGCGTACATTTTGGTTGCCATGCAAATGCAACCCATAACCGTTAATTAGATCTCTCAGTTTAGCTCCTAGATGAGTCGATCCATTCGATCAAATTGGTGTACAGAGCTAATTACTTCAACTTTTGTTAATACGACTTTGATCTCACACCACCAGGTCCGGGGTCAACGTCCTTGCTCCAAATCTGTCTCTAGTTTTGATCCGATGGACATTAAACCTTGACATGCTCGTCTACTGATAAAATAAGGTAACATTTTTATTATTCAAAATTCCCCCCCCCCCCCACGAACTTCAGTATATTTCATAAGTTTCAGTGCCATATATCCTAATCCTAAGTCTGATTTTCAATCACTTCTAGTTTGTGGGTGGGGGTGGAGGGTGTTAATAAGATCGTTCAAGAATTAGAAAAGTTATTTCATTGTGGATTGCAGGTGGGAGTAGTAGTTAGAAAACAAGACCCAAAAGGGGGAACTATTAAAAAGAAAGGCTGAAATCAACGGTATTAAGTTATTTATGGATTCGAACCCAAGAACTTTTTAAGTCAATCTCAATTGTCAATTCTTTAATTTACTTAGGTGTATGGTGTTGACCATATAGTGCGCCATAAGGAAATTTTTTTCCAGCCACGAATTCGAACAGCCAGGGGATATTTTACGTACATGCTAAAATGTGTACACGGGACCTCGGTTTTTCGTTCCATCCGAAAGACAATACGCTGTACCTTAACAGACACTCTATCCTGAACCACTGAAAACGGGGAACCACGCCGGAAAAACCCGATTAACTTTCTCAGCCAACATCGAGGGCGAAACCGAGACATGCTGGATACTCACGTCTTACTCACTGAGAAACCACTGCGTTTTCGGTAGTGCCATTTTCATAAATTTTCTTGACGGATCAAAAGGTATGTCATTGAGTCAAGTGGCGTGCTTTTGATTCAAGTTAATTTATTTAAGAAATTTTAATCTAATTTTAAATTGAAATACGTAATTCAAATTATATTACATTAAATTTCATATGAATATTCACGCTATTAGAAATCATCTTGAAACATAGGGCGATGTAGCCTTCTAAATCTGTCAGAAGATTCGGTTATATGGAGATCTGTTGGTGATCGTCTGGAACATCTGCAATTAACAATTTAGGAGAGAAGTAATATAGGCCTAGCATGTTCCTCAATCCTTTTCTGAGAATAAAACAACAAAAAAAAACCGGGTATGTAAATAATGAGTTATGCAATTGTAGTCACCTCCCGTGAAAAAAATGTCCACCATAAAACAATAGATATGCATTGTCCGTCAATTTTACAGCAACCCCTGAGAACACTTCCTGCTACGGTGGCTGATAAGGGACATGAAAAATAATATAATTTGTTTTTTTTAATTTTCACCCAAGTCAATTTTAATTTTTACCCAAGTCAATTTTAATATAATTTGTTTTTTTGTAATTTTCACCCAAGTCAATTTTAATATAATTTGTTTTTTTATAATTTTCACCCAAGTCAATTTTAATATAATTTGATTTTTATAATTTTCACCCAAGAATTTCCACCTAGCGCGTGACGTCATCTCAATTAGCCTCGTTTCCATTGTAATGTATTATGTTTTATCTTATATGGTTCTCATACTGTAATTAGCAGATTGCAATGTATTGTTTTACCTTATATCAAATAGATATTTTTATACGCCAACATTTTCATATGGACGTATATTGTCGTCAATCCTGTCCGTCCGGACGTCCATCCATAATTTGTTTGTGGACACTATACAGGTCACAATTCTTATCCGATTTTGACGAGACTTGAAATATAGGTTTATCCCCAAAAGATCTAGGTTCCTTTCGATATTGGCATGTATCGAATTGAAACTTCATGAATTATGGCCCCTGATTGTACGAAAAGTCACCTTTTTTTTAGCGTGTGGACAGTCTAGAGGTCACAATTATCATCTGGTTTCTTTCGATATTCGCGCTTATCGGATCTTAACTTTCTGAATTACGACCCTTGATTGTACGAAACATCTTGTTTTTAGCTTGGGGTCCCTCTAGAGGTCACAATTTGTATCCGATTTTAAAAAAAACGTTTGAATATATCACCGTTACGCCTTAATGATGATTGAGTTCAAATTTTCTTAAAATCGGATCGAAACTGCCGGACAAAATGGTCGCCCTCGTACGCAAACTTTGAGAGAGAGAGAGAGTTTAACGTCCACTCGACACAAACTAGTTCATTAGTGTTTTGGAAACGAGGCTAATTGAGATGACGTCACGCGCTGGTTGGAAATTTTTGGGTGAAAATTATAAAAATCAAATTGTATTAAAATTGACTTGGGTGAAAATTATAAAAAACAAATTATATTAAAATTGACTCAGGTGAAAATTATAAAAAACAAATTATATTAAAATTGACTTGGGTGGAAATTAAAATTGACTTGGGTGAAAATTATAAAAAAACAAATTATATTAAAATTGACTTGGGTGAAAATTATAAAAAAAAACAAATTATATTAAAATTGACTTGGGTGAAAATTAAAATTGACTTGGGTGAAAATTATAAAAAACAAATTATATTATTTTTCATGTCCCTTATCAGCCACCCTATCCTGCCCACTCGTTGCTCTGAGCTAGTTACGTCCCTGCTCATCAGTAATTCCAAGATGGATCAAGATTTAATAAATTGTCAAACAATACTTTCAGTCAGTTTCTCGACAACCTGATGACCTAGTGGTCTAGAGAGCCGCGTTTCGACCTCTAGCTGGCCGGTCACCTCTGGTTTGCGGTTGTGGTTTCGATCCCTGGTGTGAGCGTATGTGGCTTGGAGACATGGGCGCCTTTCAACCTTGTGTGTTTATTCCGAGTACCAGGGACGTAACTAGCTCAGAAGAACGAGGAGGTGGGGGCTGGAAGTGTTCTCAGGGGTGCTGTAAAATTGCGGACAATGTATATATATATGGTCGAAAATATTTTCACATAGGTGGGGGCTTACCCCCCCCCCCCCCGCTTCCCCCCTTACCTCATTACGAGCTTGCCGAGAACTCCGGTTTCCTGCCACAAGAAAGAGCCCAGCGCGTGCGCTAAGATAACCAGCGGCTGCCAGGCAGGATACAGATGGATAGAGATCAAACTAAAAAGAAAGTGATTTTTCGTACAATCAGGGGCCATAATTCAGGAAGTTACAGTCTAATATGCGCGAATATCGAAAGAAACCGAGATCTTTAGGTTACAAACTTACATTTTAAGTTTCAACAAAATCGGATAAAAATTATGACCTCTATAGGGTCCACAACCTTGATATACCACATTTTTACTCTGAGAACGAAGGGCGGCCATTTTGTCTGTCAGTTTAGGGCCGATTTTCACGAAATTCGAACTCCGCCGTCCTTAGGGTGTAACGGTGATATAATAATACGTTTTTTTAAATCGGATAAAAAATTATGACCTCTATGGGCTCCACAAGCTAAAATCGCGATTTTTCGTACAATCAGGGGCCATAATTCGTGAAGTTACGTTCAGAATGCGCGAATATCGAAAGAATTCGAGATCTTTGGGTTATAAACTTACATTTCAAGTTTCATCAAAATAGAATTAAAATTGTGACCTCTATAGGGTCCACAACCTTGATATACCATATTTTAACGCTATTTGAGAATGAAGGGCGGCCATTTTGTCTGTCCGTTTTGGGCCGATTTTCACGAAATTCGAACTCAACCGTTCTTAGGGTTTAACGGTGATATAATAATACGGTTTTTTAAATCGGATAAAAATTATGACCTCTATAGGGTCCACAAGCTAAAAACGCTATTTTTCGTACAATCAGGGGCCATAATTCAGGAAGTTACGTTCCGATATGCGCGAATATCGAAAGGAACCACGAACTTTGGGTTATAAACATACATTTCAAGTTTCAACAAAATCGGATAAAAATTGTGACCTCTATAGGGTCCACAACCTTGATATACCATATTTTTACTCTATCTGAGAACGAAGGGCGGCCATTTTGTCTGTCAGTTTTGGGCCGATTTTCACGAAATTCGAACTCAGCCGTCCTTAGGGTGTAACGGTGATATAATAATATGTTTTTTTAAATCGGATAAAAATTATGACCTCTATGGGCTCCACAAGCTAAAATCGCGATTTTTCGTACAATCAGGGGCCATAATTCAGGAAGTTACGTTCCGAATGCGCGTATATCGAAAGGAACCGAGATCTTTGGGTTATAAACTTACATTTCAAGTTTCATCAAAATAGGATTAAAATTGTGACCTCTATAGGGTCCACAACCTTGATATACCATATTTTTACGCTATTTGAGAATGAAAGGCGGCCATTTTGTCTGTCCGTTTTGGGCCGATTTTCACGAAATTCGAACTCAACCGACCTTAGGGTGTAACGGTGATATAATAATACGTTTTTTTTTTAAATCGGATAAAAAATTATGACCTCTATGGGCTCCACAAGCTAAAAACGCTATTTTCGTACAATCAGGGGCCATAATTCAGGAAGTTACGTTCCGATATGCGCGAATATCGAAAGGAACTACGAACTTTGGGTTATAAACATACATTTCAAGTTTCAACAAAATCGGATAAAAATTGTGACCTCTATAGGGTCCACAACCTTGATATACCATATTTTTACTCTATCTGAGAACGAAGGGCGGCCATTTTGTCTGTCAGTTTTGGGCCGATTTTCACGAAATTCGAACTCAGCCGTCCTTAGGGTGTAACGGTGATATAATAATATGTTTTTTTAAATCGGATAAAAATTATGACCTCTATGGGCTCCACAAGCTAAAATCGCGATTTTTCGTACAATCAGGGGCCATAATTCAGGAAGTTACGTTCCGAATGCGCGTATATCGAAAGGAACCGAGATCTTTGGGTTATAAACTTACATTTCAAGTTTCATCAAAATAGGATTAAAATTGTGACCTCTATAGGGTCCACAACCTTGATATACCATATTTTTACGCTATTTGAGAATGAAAGGCGGCCATTTTGTCTGTCCGTTTTGGGCCGATTTTCACGAAATTCGAACTCAACCGACCTTAGGGTGTAACGGTGATATAATAATACGTTTTTTTTTTAAATCGGATAAAAAATTATGACCTCTATGGGCTCCACAAGCTAAAAACGCTATTTTCGTACAATCAGGGGCCATAATTCAGGAAGTTACGTTCCGATATGCGCGAATATCGAAAGGAACTACGAACTTTGGGTTATAAACTTACATTTCAAGTTTCAACAAAATCGGATAAAAATTGTGACCTCTATAGGGTCAAAAACCTTGATATACCATATTTTTACGCTATTTGAGAACGAACGGCGGCCATTTTGTCTGTCAGTTTTGGGCGGATTTTCACGAAATTCGAACTCAACCGGCCTTAGGGTTTAACGGTGATATAATAATACGTTTTTTTTAAATCGGATAAAAATTATGACCTCTATAGGGTCCACAAGCTTAAAACGCGCGTTTTCGTACAATCAGGGGCCATAATTCAGGAAGTTACGTTCCGATATGCGCGAATATCGAAAGGAACCGAGATCTTTGGGTTATAATCATACATTTCAAGTTTAAACTAAATCGGATAAAAATTGTGACCTCTACAGTGTTCACAAGCTAAAAACGTGATTTTTTGTACATTCAGGGGCCATAATCCATGAAGTAACAGTCCGATACATGCCAATATCGAAAAGAACCGAGATCTTAGGGTGATAACCCTATATTTCAAGTTTCATTGAAATCGGATAAAAATTGTGACCCGTAGACTGTTCACAAACAATTGTGGACGGACGGACAGGGGCGACGACAATATACGTCCACGAATTTGTATTGAATTGACTATAGATTAAAACATTTTTTCTGGAGCAACTCTACTTTGTGCGAAATTTTTCGGGCATATATTATGTTTATTGAAAATTTCATAAATCTATACAATCTGTTGTATAGGATAGGCTACTCGGTTTGAGCTGATATTTTTAATTTCATAACTTTATTTATTACAACTGTGGTATGTGTTGCCTTTCATTGTGTAAATCAATATTTTTTCATAAATTTATGCAATCTGCTGTACATGTATATAAGTTACTCTGTTTGAGATGATATTTTTTATTCTATATGCTTAACTTAATAGATTTATTATAAATTAATAATTTATTATTTATAAAATATGTGTTGCTTCTCACTGTAAAACAAAATTACTCTTGGATAATCAGGTATTACGTTATTTTTGTTTTAAAACAAAAGAATTTTTATATTTACTTCACACAACCAATTATTTTTAATGTTTTGGGTTAACCAAAATGGCGTCACTCAATGACTTATATATGGATACAGCTCACAAAATATTTCTACGCCGTCATGCACCCACGAATGTAGAGCGAAATTTATTTTTAGTCTTTCTCTCCCTTTCCCTTTTCCCCCTTTTGCATGGCGATTTTTGTTGATTTCGAAGAAAAGGGTTTGAAAATACATTTTCTGACAGGTTTTGGTGAATATTCATGATTTTGAGGCGGAAGGATACAAGAGTTCATTGGTTGGTTACTACGGTTAGGTTGAAATGTAGGGCCGAAAATAGCATGTTTATTTGTCTCTACTTCCAGCTTGTGTATTTTAAGTTTTCCATGGTGAACTTCATACGTACTTTTGGGCAAGAGGTTGTCACATGTTGCTCCATCTACCCAACGAAAATTTGGAAAAAATTAATATTAAACATTAAAGTCAATGGGGAAATTTAGTGATCTGTTGCCGTATATTAACTAGACCGCGCGCAAGTGCAATCATTACAGCATATCAGTCATAACATCCGGTTCAGGATAGTCTCTATCATCCAGAAAAATATTCTACGAATATTAGTCTGGATGCCTTGTCAACATTTGAGAATAATAGGTCATTGGCTAGATTATCCGGTCTTTTGCATTATCATAAACAACGTCTAAGAGAGGTAACTCCTCTTAAAACAAGATGTTTACGCTCATGAAATTAAGTATGTCATTTCAAAAAATCCATTTGATTGCATGCCAGTTCAGCATCCAACTCTCTAAAATTTTTTATTGTGAAATTTCTCTCTTCATGGGTCATATCTATGCTTTTTAAATTAATCCTAATTCGTCGCCACGATTCATGTTTGTTTATATTAATTATGGGATTTATTACGTGAAGGGGAGCAACTCTTACTTCACTTGGCCAAAGAAACTTGTTAATCAACCACATTAAAAACCAAACTCCCGGTTACGCATGGGCATTGGACTTTACGTCAAATATTGACAACGGTCCCAGGCCCCTCCATATGTTGAAGACTAAGAGCTTCTGGGTGACCGAGACTAGGTTCAGGCAGAAGGCGGGAAATATGATAAGTGTAACAGTTAAGTAGCCTGCAGATTCTCAACTGTTTTAGTCTGCCATTCATTTGATACGTATTTGTTTACTCATTTATCTTGATTAAACATGTTGTGTAGCAAAAGAGATGAAAAATAGGCGGATAGTTCTTGCCAACGGTAGAATTTTCATGGGATGACTGGCGCCTTTTCAACTACACTATGGGTAGCTTGATAAAAAAATTTTTATTATCACCCAATAACAGATTCTACAGTACACACCGCTTGCGTGATAAATTACATAATTTACTGTGATATGCATTTTTATTAAAATTTTAATGTTTGTTTTCTTACGGCCCGGAGATAGAGAAATTTTTTAAAAATTATCAATTATTAACCCCAGTCAGGTCGAATAGTAGTTAGTAAGTATAGCACTATGTAATTTTGAAATGATCTGTAGGCCTCATTTTATTGTATGTGTAAGAGACTCCAACAAATCGGCCCATTTTCCCGAAAAAGGCGGCGCACTCGGCAAAAGAATCGACCCCCCCCCCACCATAGCCCTTGTTGTGTCATATTAATCTGGTGAAAAAGTATATATATATGTTACAGTCAATGTCTACAATCAGACGATGTGTACAATGCCTTTGTAACCCTAACCCCCACCCCAACCCTAAACCGGCAATGTACACATGTCTACAATCAGGCGATGTGTACAATGCCTTTGTAACCCTAACCCAACCCAACCCTTACCCTAAACCTAACCCGGCAATGTACACATTGACTGGTATATTTCAGGCATTGTACCCATTGCCTGATTGTAGTCATTGACTGTCACATATTATGTACGTTCATGAAATAAGATCTTAATCTTCGCATAGATACGATGAGCATTCATTAAAAACAAAGATGATATATTGAAATGGAATGAAATGGGGTTTAACGTCCCACTGTTCTGCTCCGGCTGGGCTAACGAAGACAGCCATACGGCATACAGTGTGCTATACGGGAAATTTGCACGGGTAGCTCCACTATGGCCTACTCTTTTATCGAATGCCAGCTGCCTAGGGATCCTTTACGTACATGACCTCTGTCCTGCACCACTAACAAGGGGAAACCACGATGAACTTTCTCGGCCAATGCAGAGATCAAACACGCGACGACCAGGCTAGCGAGCCAGCGTCTTATCCACTTAGCCACCATGGCTCCACATGTGACTTGACAAAAATATAACTATTCATATATATATAGTCATTTTATTTATACACACGATTCAATTTTATTTCATTAACCCAAGAGGTTAGACAGGCGACCATTGACTCGATGATATATCTTTTGATGCAACACACACGCGTTAACCATTTGGTCACCCAATCCACACGTATATTTTAATAGAACTGCCAAAATTGCACAGTAATATAATCATAGCCTACCATTAAATATGACGGGTGTGACACAACTGGGAGACGACATGGCCTCACAGATTCGCGATACGATGATTTCTTAAAATTTGTTTATTGTAAATACTCAATTGATCAACCACGTCTACAACCGCGTTTATCAATATTTGCAATCGATCTTCGAGAAACATGGTACCATACCGTTCGGTGTTGGATCGCGATAACAACATATTGTGTGACCATACAGTCTGATGTGATAACACAGATTAGGTCCAATCTGCAGCGAAGTAGTACCCCTACACTCACTTCTTTGATGTAAAAAAAAACCAAAGTGATTTCACAGTACCCGCCTTTCAGTGAAAGACGAGGGCCATTAAACAAGGGACCGGCCAGACGTCCATCACGGCTGTTTGAACCCTGTGTTGAATTTAAGATAGGGGCATTGACCTCACTGTTATGTAACCTCAAAACGATGATTTAAAAGAAATAACCCTACCATTCTGTAAAACCCAGACTTCCCAACAGTCTTTTGGTATTGGATTCAAAGTCTGAGTTCGGTTAGAGAAGGAACACTGTTTATCCTTGATATTGTAACTGAAACTTTTGCAAAGTTCAATCATCTGGCAGACATTTACACACTGTAATCGGGAACTGGACTCTCTTACACTGAAAACAAACTGGTTAGCGTGCCTGAAGTTTTGATGTGTCCGTAACCAATTTCCAGATTTGATTTGACCATTTCGGGTGCTCATTGGTAAAGATGGGTGAGTTGTTTCTGAAACACAATATAATGTTCATTGTTCACCGAGGGCAGTTACCTCCCCGTATTCGTAATCATATTATGGAAGTATCAAGTGTTAAACAGACAAAAATGTCTACATCTTCCCATACAACAAGTTGGGATTGCTCAGTAATCCGACAGCTACCCATGTTCCTGATAAAACGACCGCGAGTTTTAAAATGGAGTTAAAGCAAGATCAGGCCTTCTATTGAAGATGACAGCTACCATGCTAGATATCGAAACATGTACGTTTCGCAAATGCCAGCAGTCAAGCATAAGACTGGTTTGAACAGTTCACCATAAAAGCAACTATTTGAATAGTGAATAAGTGAATATTTAACTAAGATTGGGCTATTTAGAGGTTCCACTTATTTCGCATTTTGCGCGCAAAAGACAAGGGCCATAACCCAGGATGTCGCAGTGTGATCCGGACCAAAATCGAAATGATCCAAAATCATTTGATCCTGAACATGTTAAACATGCATTCATTTAACGGGAAGTTAAGGACCGATTTCGACGAAAATCGGACTCATCCGTGACACATATTTGATAAATTGTGACCTGTAGGGACCCCAAAACTATGCACACTTTTTTTCGTACAGTACAAAATGGGCAATAATCCAGGAAGTTACGGACGATATGCGCCAAAATCGAACGCCTGGGCGGAGAATATTAGCGACGACATCATGTCTTAAACAGTTGATATCAGGAGCGTATATTTTCACAGTAAGATAACAACGTTACCGTTGATTTAAATGCGCCAATAAATAGTGTTTGTATTGAGCAATAATTCGTGTTTGCAATTGAGTTTTACGCCCTTTAAAGCAGCTATCCGTTAGTAGTGCTATTCTAGTTTGTCCATTAGTAGCGCTATCGTAGTTGATGCATTAGTATTCCCATAAACCTAAACATTATTCATCCGTTACCGTTGTCATAATGCCCATCCACCAAAGTTATCCATAGGTAACCGCTTCAGGTTACATAAACTTTGAGCACTAGTTCGCCCATTAGTATATCCTTATACCGTCACCATAGTACACCCATTATTAATCCCTTTACCGTAATCCAATGGGCAAACCTGTCAATCTAACTCAAGTTCATCAATCAGAAAAATCATGAAGTTTAACAGCTAGTATTTAAAGGAGCTAAATAGCTAATATTTGGGACCTACAAATTGACACAAATGGGTCGCAACGTATATAATAATGTAATATAAATGTAAATAAACTGATTTACATTCATTCGTTTCCGTTTTTACTCTAATTTCAAAGCAGTTATGTTCGGCGAAATACGCCAGAAGTCTCAATCGAATGCCAATCTCTAGCGTTTGGTTATTCCAGTCTACATCGGTAGTATTTATTGCGCATACTTTCCAGATAAGAATATGGCGCCACCGTTTGACATGACTTGTGGGATATGTCTAGCCTCTTTCTTCGAGTCCCTTATTACTAATGGCACCTAAACGAATTATGGTACACGATTCGTGTACCAATGATAAACTGTTTATTAATTTGTCTTAAAAACCCATCTTTCTCGGTAAGGCCACAACATCAATGTTGATTTAAATTTACAAATAATTCGTGCTTTTAATGTCGAAGACTGTGGATGACATTGAGTTAAAGACTTGGCTACTTTAAGTTTGAGTTTACCAAATACTATTGAATAAGGGCTAATTCGATGTTTGTCATTACTATTTGACCAAACTGCCCTATTATAAAATATATCAAAAGAGCTAAATGACCGACATCTCGTAAATTTATCGTGATGTTACAATTACTGCAGTATATTAGTAAATGTTAACGTTTATTCATCCTGCCAACCCGACATCAATGGCAAAAAACGTGTCATAAGTTTTCACAGGTTTAACAGTCACATTAATCAGAATTTTCTATGACTCAACTTAAAATCGTCTGTGTGGTTCAAACTTTATGGCGGAATGGGAAAAGGAAGTTCTGCCACTCTGCCCATTAAAACCAGATTTCTATGGACGTTTTTTGTTGACGTTTTTGAACAATCTAAACAATCATCATCCATCTGTCAAATTAACCACTAATGTAAGTCATAACAGCATAGATTTCCTTGACACAAACGTATTTAAAAGCAAAAAGCAATTAGAAACTAAAGTGTTTTTCAAAGAAACCGAGACACATCTACTACTGTTCAAAAGCTTCTTTCACCCAAACCATACGTTCTCTGGCATCATTAAATTTCCGATTCTCCAATTTTAAATGCTATATGTACATGTACTCCGAAGGCCGACATGCAAAATCATAAACATATCCGACCAGTTCCATAGCAAAACACCTGGCACACAATTCCCAATATAAGACCAACTTTCATGCAGCAGTTCAAACATAATTTATTTAATTTCCTGTAGACAATGTTACAAACAATACGTAGGAGAGACCGAAAATGCACATAGGGAAAGAATTCACGGTCACCGGTCAGACATAGTGACCAAAAAACACAGACCTGTCTCAAATCACTTCAAAAACCAAATCATACGTGAATAGAAAAGACTAAGAGAGACTTTGAAACTCCAGAAGAAATCATAACGTTTGAATAGTCATACGACTAGCGCAATAGCCCTCTTTGTAGTCCCATGAAGCGCAACAGCAAAACGTGCATCCACAATTACCCGAAACCAGTATACTGATCTCCAGGAAAATCACCCGAAAATCTTCGCACAGGAACTTATAATTGCATATTCTAAAAATAAAAACGACATTTTAGTGCACAGTAAATTAGACTAAATAAGACCAGTCCTCAACCTAGCCCTAACCCTTAGTGAATAAAATCAACTAGATATAAGAATCCCTAGCCCTAACCGTGAATAGTGAAACAAAAATATTTTAGACACAAAAACACCAGAATACCACAAGCGCCACATAAGGAAGACCATCAGCTCCACAAACACCAAAAACCAGCGACCAGTACCACAAATCAACTTTGTATATTATAATTCTTGGAATATATTCAAATGAAATGAAATGGGGATTAACGTCCTGCTATTCTGCCACGACTGGGCATACAGCGCGTGCTATGGGGGGGATTTTGCCTGAACTGCTGCGCTATGTTCGACTCTAATATCGAATTCCATTGAAAAGGGGGAACCACGCCGGAAAGTTTCTCGGCCATCACTTTAGCGCGCCAACTTCTTGCTCACTGACACATCGCGGTTTCGGGATATATTCAAACAGTTGTTTAACATTATTATGTAAAATTGCTGAACAACAACATTGTCCTTTAACGTTTAATTGACTAGTAACACATGTACTTACCTTCACAGATAAAGATAAATTTAAATATACAAGCAATAGTCAACCATGTGTTCTCTTTGTCGCTTTCTAGCTTCAAACATGCACAGAGATCTGCAAGAAAACAACAAATTTATATCTGTTAAAGAGATTGTTCTCTGCCACCAACCGACGAGTCATATTCCAGATTGGACATCTTCAGCTTGGGTTGTTGACCTACTAGCGTTCCTGGCCTTCGGGTATGAATATCTAAGGTTTATTTGATAGTTCGCTCCTCTAATTATTTACAATATTCTCAACGAAATAACAAACCCAAACATGTACCTTCACCTGTTTCTGTTGTGACCGCATTTGGTCTCCACTTAGAATAGCCCAGTGATGTTCCATCAACCCATTTCCATTTGGCATCATTTTGTTTGAGTCCTAACCAGACTCGTTTATTATCGGGTAAGTGTTGATGGTACCTTAACATAAAATTATTGATTAATAAATAATTATATTTAAATAGCGCCCAATCTGAGTAAAATACAGATCTATATTTCGTTTCGTTTTTTTTATACTTTCGATGGCCTACACTACATGAAGATCTGACAAGTTGTACTATAAGGTCGTGTCAGCGGTTGTACGAGCGGCTTTTGACCCTATAACGCCAGGCATTGATTTTTCAATCAGCGTTGGCGTTTCTAGTGGTTTACCCAGAGTTCCGTGCATGGCACGCCAAGAAGTCGCCGTAAAAGACTGTTTCATTGGGTTATCCCTCCCTTCAACCAAAACGCCTATAATATAACAACTCTTCCACTGTAGTAAAGACAAGTAAAACGAAATTTTGAACTATAAAAAAACGAAACAGTTTAAATCAGATTGAATAGCGTCATGTTTAACGACTGGTGATTTAGTGATTGTTTCGGAAGTGATCTAACCATGCTTTGCGTGAACTAATGGTGCCGTTGCAAGACTCTATATTTGAGACTACGTGTATTACAAGGGATGTCGATGTCACCTGTCATTATAATTATTGTACTACAATCATCGAATGGACTATTTATTGCTTCCTCAGATCTTATGATAGACGAATGTAGTTCCCTCCACTTTCATTGCACATTTTGTGGACTTTTTGGTCTAGAATCGAAGAAGAGTTTATATTTTCTGCTGCTTTTGTGACCATTTATGGATTTGAGGCGGAATAAACAGGAAGCAAACGGGCGTCAATTAGGGTAATTTCCTACTAAAATGACTCCAATTGGAGATTTGATTGGATGAATGACTAGAGAGGAATGTCTGGGGTCATCCATTTAGAAATATGCTACACAACGGGTTTTCTCAATGATAACACCCCATCTTAAAGTTATATGACCCCATCTTGGTTCCACAGCAGCAGTTCATGGATATAAAGTCCAACACATTACTTATCATACAAACTTTCACTGTCATTGTCCGTTTAAATCGCACATTTTCTTTTTAGTTCCACCCCATTTAGAAGAACAATAAATTTCACAAGTACCTGAAGTTATTAACTACCAGCTGTTTTTGAGCATTTTTTATAGTGACTAATTGTCCTTCATCTTGTCGACATTTTTCCACAGCGTCTATGTAAGTTGCTTCTATAGTATGCCATTTCAAACAATGGCCCTCCATATCTTCGTAGCCATTTTTGCAAACTAAAATTCCTATAATAAAACAAGAAATAAATGAACATAGTATTTCGGATTTCCTTGCTTTTTTTTATTTTAACTGGTTTCATATGTACCCAAATTTTATTAATATAAATCGGTTCAGTAAGTGCCTGTTCAACAATTCATTTTTTACACAAAGATGACTAGCCATTACGCCTATCCGATATTATTTGAAAGCGTAAGCGCTTTGACCAACCAATACACGCAGCAATGGTGCGTCATTATCTTTTAGAAAGGCGACAAACATTTTGTATTTATCAGACCCCCCCCCCCCAACATTTTTTCCCTATCAAGTCAATTATCTATTATTATTATTTTGGTGTATTTGTGTATCAGCGGGAGAAAAATTGTTCGCTATTAAAGCTCCTAAACTATGGAATAAATTACCATTAAAATTAAGAAGCTGCGAATCAGTTGTCTTTTAAATCCAATCTAAAACCTTTTTTATTTACTAAAGCATTTTATTAATCTTTACTACAGACTCTATAACTTAATTTTTATTTCTTTTACACTATTATTATTGTGATATGATTAAATTTTGGAGTTTTTGAAGTTTATCGAGTGATTTTTTGTGAACACCAGAAAGCAGTGAGTTGAAATTGTCCAGTCTTGAAATAAGTAAAGCTTGAATTAGTGACTTAGTAGCATCTGTTGATATATATTTTTTGATTTTACCAATGTTTCTCAGGTGAAAGTAACCGGTTTTACAAATGTTATTTATTTGGCACTCCATATTCATATTTGAATCGAAAATAGCTCCAATGTTTCTAGCGGACTTAGATTGAGATATAGTAGACTCTCCAACACGAACTGATAAATCGCCATCCAGTTTAGAAAGATTGAATTTCGAGCCTATTACTAAATATTCGGTTTTGTCATCATTCAATTTAAGGAAATTTTGTGACATCCAAACTTTGATGCTAAAAAATACACTGTTCCATGTTAATTTTAGATATATTGAAATTGCCAGGATTTGAGGGGTTAAACGAAATATATAACTGTGTGTCGTCAGCATAGAGGTGATATTCAAGTCCATGTTTTCTAACCAGATTACCAAGAGATGATGTATATAAACTGAACAATATCGGCCCAAGCACAGATCCTTGAGGCACTCCAAATTTCAGCTGCGATTCAGCGGAAGATTCCTGGCCCACAACGACTCGTTGTGTCCTACTCGTAACATAAGACTGGATTATTTTCAGAGCGTCATCAGTGATTCCAAAGTCTGTTTCCAGACGATTAATAAGAATCTGATGATCTACCGTATCAAAAGCAGCAGATAGGTCTAATAGGATCAGAAGAATGCAGTTTGGTTATCTAACGCTGTAAGAATATCATTGTGGACCCTCACTAATGCTGTTTCGGTGCTGTGATACTTTCTTTATGCACTTTGGAAGGGTTCTAACAGATTGTTTTCTCTAACATGAGATGTCAGCTGTTTAGAGATGACACGTTCCAAAAGTTTTGATATGAAACTCAAGTTTGATACAGGTCGATAGTTTTTCTCGATTTCTGGATCCAGTGATTTCTTTTTGATGAGTGGAAATATTATGGCAGAATTAAAGGTGTCTGGAAAAATATCGCGGATTGAAGAATTTATAATATTTGTGATAACACAAATTAATGATGGAAGGCAGTCTTTCAAAAACTGAGTAAGAATTGGATCAAGTGGGCATGATTTCGATGAACATGAAGTGATACGTTTTGGTAATTCAGGTTCACTGACCGTGCTAAATGAACAGAGTGGCGGTGGCAGAACTGTGAGATTTGTATCGCAAGATATTCCATCTCTTGAATTTAGTACAAGATTGGCTCTGATGGTGGATATTTTATTAAGGAAATATGAGGAAAATTTGTCAGCGAGTTCTTGATCAGTGTCAGACTCGGGTAGTAAATTCACACCATAGTTGCAATCTGATAATGCATTGGAGATACGAAAAAGCTTTTTGAATTTGTTGTCACTATTGTCAATTCAATCAGAATAATAAGATTTCTTAGCACCAACAACGCATCTACTGAAATTGAGCTTCTCTACCTGATAAAGTTCCCGATGGATCTGGAGCTTCGAATTTCTCCATGTTCGCTCAGCTTTATTTCTACATTGCTTCGCTTGTAGTGTTTCGTCGTTGAACCATTCTGACTTAGGACGAATTCTGATATGTTTAAGTGTAACAGGATAAAACTTATCGAATGTGGATTGCAATATATCGTTAAATTGTGTTGCTTTAATGTTAACATTATGCAGATTTACTATGTTGTGGAACTGTGTTTTATCTAGTTCAGACAAAAACTGACTTGAGTTCAGATTTTTTAGATTTCGTGTTTTCCGCGTCTGGACCGGAAAGTCAGTAGGTTGGATCTTTGAGTTAATAAAAATTGGGAAGTGATCAGATAAGATAGACTCCTGTACAGTTAGATTACTAACGAAATTTTCGCAGAGTCTTGATATTACAAGATCAAGGGTATGACCACGGACATGGGTTTTACTTTCAACATGTTGGTGCAAAAGGAATGTGTCTAGAAGACATTTAAGTTTTAAAGATGATGGATCATTGCTGTTATCGTAATGGAAGTTGAAATCACCCACAACAAGTCTGGCACAATTACTGAAAGTAACACCCTCCAGGAATGACTTAAATTCATTAAGAATAAATCGACAGATTTTCTAGGTGGACGGTATATAATTTTTATCCGTATGGTTTTCTGTTTTATAGTTACAAAAGAGTCCAAACATTCAAAGCTCTTGAATTTAGTTTGTTTTAGTTTGGTAGATTTGATAGTTGATTTAAATATAAGTGCAACCCCACCACCCCGAGTTTTCCTAGGTACACTATGTATTGAATATCCGGAGGGAATGAGTTCAGCTAATGAAGATTGATCATTAGTTTCAGTGAGCCAAGTTTCAGAAAGTGCAAATAGATCGAGTTTATTAGTTTGTATAAATTCATTTAAATCCAATGTCTTATTCCGCACTGATCTACAATTTGAATGAGGTTTTTGGAATTGGGTTCATTGCATGAGTTTTTTCGATGGGTGTCAAATCCTGAAGTGATTAAAGTTGGTATATGATGTTTAGGTTTTCTCCTGGTTGGTTTATGTTTTAATATAACATGGACTATCCCTTTAATTTCATGATAAAATTTACTGCTTTCACATTTTGTCACATTCTTTCTCAGTTGTAGCAGTTCATGTCTGCTATAGATTAAGCTAGAGTTTTGTTCATTAGGTGTAACACTGTAATCCTAATAGTCATAATACTAATCACAAACACACACCATGTGACATAATATAGTGAACTCATTGATCCTTGACACAATGTAATCCAAATTTAATTGTCCACGGTTGACTGGTCACTATTCAAAATCCAATAAAAATGTTTAAGCACAGATTTCACAAAAACCAAACACAGTTTTTTCCAATAGTTTTAACCAGACTTAGTGCATATCCTTATGAAGAGTTGAGCCAATTTCCAGCACTTAGAAAGATAGATAACTTAATATAATGCCTAATACTTGTAGAGCAAATAGGAGCGGACTTCTCGCTCTACTACTACTCTAAATGAAATTGTATCTTTATTTCGTTTCGTCTGTATAATACTTGTAGAGCAAATAGGAGCGGACTTCTCGCTCTACTAATACTCTAAATGAAATTGTATCTTTATTTCGTTTCCTCTGTATGATTTTGATTTTTTTTTATACTACCTTCAAATATATCGTCACGTTTCTCGCGAACCGACGAATCTGGGAATTTTAAGTTTTGAGAAAAACACGTTTGAAAATTGCATTATGTTGTTATTTGTAATTTAATATTTCATAACCTCGAATCAGGAGTATAACTAGCTCAACCCGATTTCTATTTTGAAAAATCGGTAGTCGTTTTATCCAATTACATATTATGTTTGATTGTTACTGTCTGCTAAACGTACCGTTGAATAAATAGAGTACTTTCAATTTAAAATAATCATATGTGTGCGTTTTCTATTCCTTTATTACATAAAAGTAACCTAACAGAACTAACTAGTACCGTTCGTTGTGAAATGTCAGCGAGTGCAGTCCCTAATACTGTTTTGATCATGTGATGCACAAAAACATATGACGTCGGAACACGTTTTAGTGTAAACAATGACGAAATACTCATCACATTCCTTATTTGGAACATTGTTACAGGTAATTTTATCCAGACATATAAGTAACTGTGATTTACCGTCGCTTAAGTGCACTGGTCAAATACGTCTACGATTATTGTAAAAGTTGAAGTAAAATGGCTTCTAACCATGAAAGGACGAATAGCCTAAAACTTGGAAATATTTCGATCTAAGTGTCTGCAAGGCCGTTAAAATTGCACTTTATGCCAAGCAAATTTAAAATATTATGGGAGCACATCGAACATGAGAAACCATATTAAACATTTACACGAATCAGTAAGTTTGAATGAACAATCGGCATCGCTCGTCGTCAGCGTCGACACAGTTGTACATTACATTTTTTACAAGACAAAAACCTTTGCCTGTAAAAACAGACATAATAAATAAAAGGTTGGCACTTACGTGTGCCGTGGATTTAAGGCCAGTAAACATCGTCAATGGTGAAGGTTTTAAAAATTTTGTTGCTGCCTTAAACCCAGATTATAAACTAATTTGTCGCACCACCATCACCAATCACGTACACTTACTATACTATCAGTATCAAGTAAAGCAAGACGCCATTAAGGACCTTGATAATCGTTATATTATATCACTGACGTCCGATATATAGTATAGCTAATTATGCTTACATCAACTTGACCGCTCATTATCTTACTGATGATTGGAAACTGGAAAATAAATCAAGACTTATGGCTGATAAATACACAGAAGAAAACGAAAACATAGCTTCATATTTAACTGATTTGGCTAAGGAATTTAATATTAAAGATATAACGACAGTTGTAACAGAAATGCGGCAAATATGCGTGCGCCATGTAAATGATTCTATGGAAAATGAGACCACAGCCGA